CAGCTGGAAAACTGGGCATGAATCCTAGTGATCCATGGCTGTACCGCTGTGCGTAGTCTCTTGCAAATTTAATGGGGTCTGACCTGGGCACGGGGGGCGTGAAAAGTTCATGCTGGGATTTAGAGGAGCCTTGTTTGGAGCTGAACCTGCTTGCAGGGATAGAGCAAAGGAATGAGAAATGCATGAGCTTTATGTTGCCTGCAGCCATCTCTCTCTCTCTCAGGTAGGGAGTCAGCTCTGTGTGTATGGAAGGAGCTTAATTAGAGAGGGGAAGAAGTATTTCCTTGAACCCTAACAGGAATCCCCAGCCAGGGGATATTCTTTTAAATGACTGGAGTTAATAAAAGGTGAGGACCGGTTAATCACTTAGGTTATGTGTGCAGCATGAAGTGAGATGGAAGTAAAGAGAGGGGAAACACGGAGCTGCACCAGCGCAGAGTTGGATCTCCCCTGGTCAGCACCTCTGAGTTCAGGTGCAACCCCGGGGTATGGCACCTGGACTCAGGGGTCAAAACAAAGTCCTCGAGGGTTGTAGGTGGCTTTGCAACCCTGAACATTTTCTGCCTTTCTCACCTCTTCTTTCTTCCTACAAAGCATAAAACTGGCTCTGGATTCATAGATATTTGAGGGTTCAGACATGGTGAGTGGAGAAAGGAGGTCTCCCAGCACCACCTTGCTGTTCCCACACTTCCCTTCTAGTGCTGACAATGGGCCACCCTCTTCCTCTGGCACAGCTCCCACCAGCTTTGCTGGAGTACTGCATCCAGCTGTGGAGCCCTCAATATCAGAAGGATATTGACCACTTGCAGCGAGTCCAGAGGAGGCCATGAAGATGCTCTGAGGGCTGGAGCACCTCTCCTATCATGAAAGGCTGCAAGAATTGGGCTTGTTCAGCCTGGAGAAGAGAAGGCTCCGGGGAGACCTTATTGCAGCCTTCCAGTACCTGAAGGGGCTACAAGGGAGGTGGGGGGAACTTTTTACAAGGGTCTGTAGTGACAGGACAAGGGGGAACGGGTTTAAATTGAAAGCGGGGAGGGTTAGATTAGATATCAGGAAAAAGTTCTTCCTGGAGAGGGTGGTGAGGGACTGGAACAGGCTGCCCAGAGAAGCTGTGGATGCCCCATCCCTGGAAGTGTTCAAGGCCCGGCTGGATGAGGCTTTGAGCAACCTGGTCTAGTGGAAGGGGTCCCTGCCCATGGCAGGGGGGGTGGGACTAGATGATCTTTAAGGTCCCTTCCAACCCTAACCATTCTGTGATTCTATGATTCTATGATTCCCTTCTCCTCTGCCAAGGTTTCAGCCCAGATGCTAAGGCTCCAGTGCCCATCGGAAAAGAGGGATTTCTAAACAATGCAAGATACAATGATGAAATTAATCGTTACCCCTATTCTTCCCCTCACTTTTTTGCTTCCATTTGCCATTCACTTTTCCTTCCTGCATTTTTCTGTAGTGTTCCTCAGTCTTCCTCCTCCGTTCTGCATCTTCATCTCTTTTATTTATTTACTTATTTGTTTCTGCAGAATGCCTTACAATGTATCTTTTCTCCTTCTGCCTTTATAAGTCCTAGCCTCTTTTCAGTGACAGCCTTAAGTAGTTTTTAATATCTTTCTCCTTATTCCAATCTCTGTGCTTTCTCCCTCTCTCCTACATTAACATCACTCCTACACTGATTCATTGTACTTGCTCAGTTCATATATTCCCTCAGAACTGCCTTGACATCAGTTTAACTGCTTTGCCTCAGGAAATACCAATGTATGTGCAAATTTTGTCTTTTCTAGGCCCTTAGGATAGTATATTCAGGGTTCAAAATCATACTGCTTTTCCAGTGGGCCCAATTGGCTTTACGTAACATTTTTCAAGTTTCAAAACCAAACTGCTCTTCCCCACAGACACCTTTGTTACCAAAAGACATCAAGGTGTATCCCTTATACAAAATGTTGGGAGCAGGAAGTGGGCGATGACTGTGCAGCTGAGCAAGCAATGAGATGACTAGACACATAACACTGTGGTTTGCAACTGCCCGCAAAAGCCAGCCACGGCTTGCGTTTTTCCATCAGGGCCGTCACCCATCACCGAGTAGTAATGCTCTGCTGAAAGGTGAGGTGGAGCAGCTTGGTGATCTGAGCAAGTCCTCAGCTATGTTCACTTTCTCCATCCTAACCAACGCCTTCCAGCACGCAGGTGTTCCTATACACAAGCTCCCACACATGTTTTCCCATGTCCTCCCCTGCAGTTTCTTGCCCAAGGCCTAGAGGCCAGCATGGGTGGAACCGAACAATAGACCATGACAGCGTTTCTCACACCGGCAGAAAGCTTACTGGTACTTCTCCCTCACATGCTGCAGGACTGGTAGAGAGGTGAGGCAGAAGCGCAAAATGAACCTGAGCTTTTTGTGGGCAAGCTAACCGTCTTTATAGGTGACCAAATAATGGGTTTACCTTCTGTAGACTAAGGCAGCTTTGTATCTCTAACATCTGCATGCCTTGCATAGGCTAGGATACCTTGATGTGGGTGAGGAGGTGGAGAAAGACAGGCCCCACTCTGAGGGTGTTTCTCTCTGCATCCATGGGATGGCTCTTCCTGGCGAAGCTATCACAAGGAACTCTCCCTGAGAAGACGTGCTTTGTGTCCTAAGTGCTCTGACCAGCATTTAAACAGAGTATGACCTCCACTGAATGAAGACTGGACTGGAATGTTTTCAGAACCTGAAAAAGCTGAGAGTGTGGCGTCTGAGCTTTTCTCCTTCGGGAAATCTCATCCAGGAAGGAAAAGAGGGATGGGGCAATCTGCCAGAGGTTTTCATCAGTCCAGCAGACCAGCAGTTAAGTGTGATATGGCCTGCTGGACAGCTGGAACTACATGACCAAGAAGAGTCTGTGCCCAGACACAATCAAACTGTACAGACTATAGGCAACTAGTCCATCTTGCCTATGTATGGACTGCCTGTGCAGCTGCTTAATCAGTCGTCAACCCCACGTGCAATGCCCTGACCCACCTCATACAGGAGATCAACCAGAAACCACAGTGACAACAGCTCTGGATAACTCCGACCCCAGACTCCAAGACAGATCAGACTGTGGGGGGGTGTATAAAACATTTCCCAGTCGTTCAGCTATCACTGCAGATATTGAGCTGGTATTGATGTTTGCAGGCAACTGCTTCTCAGACTGGATGGGCTGCAAAGCAATAGTTCTATTTTACATTCTTCTTCTGACTACGCTCCGTGTATCAGACGCTCATGAGGCACATCAGCAAAGACCCCCAGCGCTCTGCAGGGTCTCACCTCCCATTGTTTTTTGGTGGAAGTCAGTCTCCTCAGTACCTTCAAAGATATGGGCCAATGACTCCAGTTAACCCCCTGATATTAAAATGTGTTAGAGCCCATTAAAGATCCTCGGAGGGAAGGAAACCAGTAAAACCCTGAACCATTGTGACTAAAGGCTTCTCACTGGTTGGCAAGATGGGGAATCCGAACAGAATTCCTGTTTCCAAATTCACAATAACTCCCATGGTGTTCTCTGGTGTTAGAAGTATGCATATTAAGGGTTGCACGTTCCCATTTGGAAATCTCTTTCCAGTTTCTTTTAGACCTGAAGCACCAAGCAGTTCTCAAATAAAATGCTTCCCTTTTTTGAGGATACATAACTGAATTCCCTGTGTATTGTGACCAGGTAGTAACATAGTCCTTACTGGGAACTATAATCATGTGGTCCCGAAGGGCAATCCAGACATTGATTTAGTTCTTTATTTTGACTTTGTGGCCTAAGTGAATCTGTCCATTTCCATTCCTATAATATATTGGAGGTCAAGAGTGAACACTGATGCTGTCAGTGAACATACAAAAGTGAACACACAGACACTGCAGGTATTGCAGACGCTTGACACCGCTTTTATAGTGCTTTATTCTGAACAGTAATTAGGTAAACCAGTACTGAACATATGCAGCAGTCAGTCTTTAGATAGAAATGAAATCTGATTACCATGATTTCATATGGAATTTGGAGACTGGTAATTACAATGTTAATTTCACTCAAGTTGAAGTCCTTATTTCTTTCTCATGCCTCAGATATTAAGTAATTGTATGGAGTCTCCATAATGCTGAATACAGAATTAGAAATGGCAGATAATCTGTGTGTGAAGAGTGTGGCATTTCCAGTATTAATCCAACTGTTTTCTCTCCTAGAATTGCATAATGTTCTTTTTCTCAGTATATATACAACAGGGCTCCTCATAGCTGCAGTGAACTGGTCCCCTCTTCCATGTCTGAAGAGCAATGAGTCAAAAAATCCCACGCAGCAGAGTCCAACCTCCCCAATAAATAAACTGATGTAACTCCCACTGAAGAGTCTTCTGGCTATATACATTTTGTCACCATGATTATTGCCTCTTGCATCCATAGGCCTCGGTGCAGCTGCTGTTTCACAGATGCAAACTCCGGCGCTGGCCTGAATTGCCTAGCTACGCTGCAGAACGCGCTCGCTGTTTCACTAGGCATTGGCAGGGTCCGGTGGGGCACCTTGGACCACCATGAAGCCAGGTACAGGGAGGGGCTATCACACCACATGCCCACATTTTCCCCTTCTAGGCAGTAGGAATCCACAGGGCGTGGTCATGAGGGAGAGCAGTTTGGCTAGGGAGCAGGAACGTAGCTGTTACCTCCCAGAGCTCTTTCTGACTCCCGGTGTATCTAAAACAGGCTCTCAGTTCACTTCGTTTGGGGAAAAAGATGTCACAGAGGAACAAAATACAGTTGTTGCTGAAGCTGGGGTACTTCTCAGTGAAATGAGATGTGTTCTTCACAGTGGGAATCCTTCGGCTTAAGGGGATGAAACACAAGGAGATGAACTAGTTCTGCTGCATATGTAGAGTACATTGTGTTACCCAGCTGATACATGAACCTCTTAGATTTCCTTTCAAAGGTGATAGTAGGATGCCAAGCTTTACAGGATCATGCACCACCATAAATGTAGCTGTGCTTTTTCATAACGAATACACACTACTTAAGGGGAACAGAATCGGCCTGAAAGAATCACGTTGCGGGTTTTGTTGTGCCTGAACAAAAAGATGAATGGATGGTCAGCTTTAAATTCATCTTTGTGTTGCAGAATCCGATATCCTGGTACCTCCCAGGACTCGCCACCTTGTTCAGTCACTTCCAAAGAGACTTTATGGATGATCTTTGACAAAACCACACCTTTTGTCTCACACATCTCAGAGAAATCTGACGTGCTCTCATTGAAGACATTTGTCATTCCCAGGCTTTCCAGAAGTGGCTTCAGGTCATAATCACCTTCCACGCTAAACTTCGGAAGAAATACATTCACTTTGGTGTTGGCCATCATGCTGGGATTGGTCCACTGTAATAATGTCTCAGTGGTGAGTGCCTTTTCCAGCTGAAGACATAAAGGAACAAAGGAAATTAATGAGCAGTCCAAGGAAAGAGAGAAGAAAAAAAAGACCATTCCTGGACTTTCCAGTCCTATCAAGTCCCCAAAATATAAAGTCCAATTTGCTTTTGAATTCCCAACTGGGAATTCAGGGTTAACATACTCCCGGTTATACTGATGCAAGTATGATTTAATCCATAGGACAGGCCTCTGGAGCAACACCCACTGTACGTGCATGCTCTGACTATTAGCCCCTTACAAGCTTTTGCTAGGCAGTCACCTCAACAACCACATGAAGGAACCTGAGAAAGACAGTCCCTACCCAGGTTACACCCAGCCAACTGGCAGATCCAGAAGTCTTGCTTCCTTATCCTAGAGAGTAACGAAATTGCTGGTATTTGGGACAGAAAGGGACTCCAAATCCAAAGCCTGATCTCAATCAATCATGCAGCTGTTTGAGCAATTTTTTTAAAACTGGGAAGTAAGGAGGCAAAATCTGGGGCTACAACAAATTGTTACCAGGAGAGGCCTCACTTGCATTTTAAGATACGTGTGTTCTGTTAATTTACTCCTACATATAAAGGTACATATATACCTTACAGCTGCAAAGGCAGATTCCACCTGCCTTTAAAATTTGTGGCCAGTTGCAGCACATTACAAAGGAGACTGGCATCATCATCTGTCACTTAATCCTTAAACTTTGAAGAGGTGAAAATATGTTCCAAAATTTTCATTGAGAAATGACATAAGAAATAGCTGTTCTTTAGGAAATTCCTTATTCGTTTTCAAATTTATGTGCAATTATAATAAAAAATGGCTCATTTTCAGGCATCTCTGCCAGAAGTTAAAACTTCAAGGAGCGCAAGACCTTAGTAAAATAAATCACAGACACATGTCAACTGAAATAAATGAAGACAACAGAGTAAATAAAGTATTGGGTACTTGTGAGTGCCCCGTGAGTATGACTTTAAGCACTTTAGTAAAGCAAAAAAAAAAAATCTTAAGATGAAAAATATTTTTTTGGGTCCAGATTTTCAAACTGATGCATATTCCTAAAGTGCATCATGGGCACCTTCTGCCCTTTGTGGTGTCCTCTATGCACGCCCTATCTAGAACAAAGTCACGTTCACAACCTCACACTTGGCCACAGTGGGAAGAATCATGTCACAATTATGACATGACAAATATGACAGAGAAGCAGAGTGAGAAGGTAAATTCACAGGAAACTTACTTTTTGTTTCCTTCTATACAGCATCTACATAACAAAAGCCTTCCATGAGCGTATGATATTATAAGTGTCTGTTTCCATGGGAAGCATCGTACCACTTCTATTTTTTTTCTCTCACCTGCTCCAAGCCAGTGGTCTCATCTTCAATCTCTTTGGGCAGCAGAATGAGCATGCTTATATGTTTGTTGAGGCATGGAAGCTCAAGGATAGCAACATTTAATTCTTTCACATAGCCCAGGCAAAATGTAGCTTCCAGATTCATCATCTGCACTGGTTTAGTTTGAGTCTGCAAAACACAGAGGAAACAATCTAGCACTGCTTTTAATTCACAAAGAAGATGGCAAGAGAGGAAAGTTTGTAAGCTTGCCTGGAAGTGGTACATTCAGTTACCATTGGAGAATTTGTTGGCTTTCATAGGGAATGAAACCAGCTGCAAGAGACCCTGTTGGCTTTTTACAGTAGGCAGCTTTCCAAAGAAAAGTGGAACAGAATTCTACTTAATACAATAGTGCTGGGGATGTGCCTTAAAAGAGAAATTTACCTAATATCGGTGGCCCTTTGTGCCTGTTCCACTGAGTGCTACAAACTATACTGTCTAGAGGGCATCGTAATGTAAGTGCCAAAGTAAGTGTCAAACACTGACCACATCTCAACAGTGAGGGTCAAGCTGTTCGTAGGAATAATTGATATTTGGGTTCAGGAGCTGAAACAGAGTAAGAAGAAATTTCAGGCTTACCTAAAGCCCTATGTCTTTGCTTTTCATGAGTGCAGCAAAACAAAACTATTTCATAGGGAAGATTTACAAAGTGTTCTCTTCACCTGGAAACTCATTTAAAATTCAAGTTCAAGAGAAAAATGTTACTCCAGGGGGAAGAAAAAAAAAAAAGCTTGAGATGTTTCACTTAAAAATTCTAGTGTTGGTTGTATAATTTTTTAGCTGAAACTGTTGGCTGATGTAGTAATTTATTAATATTTTCAGTGCACCTGAAACTCCAACTTTTCCCAAACACATGTATATATATATGTATGTATGTATGTATCTGGAGTATAATCTCTATCTCACAAATGTTGCCCAGCTTTATATCTCAGTTTGAAGTTGACTGATCACAACATTCACCACTGGTCACATATTCCTGAAGGCAACAGCCACGGGTGCTGCACCCACTTGGACCTCGTGGCTAAGCAGGGCTGATGTGCAGAGGGCTGCAGTCCTGAGCCTGAGTGGAAAGAGGGAAATTGCTGGGGTGCCATCCCTGATGTGCACAGGGCCAGGCACCTATGGGGTATACTCAAAGACACCCCACGGGTGTAGGTGCTTCACTAGCTCTGTGACCACAGGAAATGCGACGCTTTGTGCTTCACCCCTTCTGGTTTTGGGATGCAGCCTCTGGTACAGGCTGCAATCCCTTGGAAGAACTACCCATGATGCATCTCTTGTAGGCAATGGCTGCTTCTGGTCTCTTGTACTTAGCTCCTGTTTGAATATACTAACAGGAGAGTGTTTTCACGCTGGGCATTTGAAAGATGGATATAAAAGCACCATCAAAGTTTTAAAATGATGTGACAAGCAAACTGGTTTAGGGATCCTTGCAACAGCATATAGGTTTAGACAGACTCTAAGAATGCCAAGGTAATTATAAACATTTCTCATTTTCTCTTTTTGGGATATCCTTAGCTCAAAGTTTGCATTGTCTTGAGTGGAAACAGTACTCTTTTTTTTTTTTTTTTTCCCCCACACACACAGCATACCTTGTTGATTTTAAAAGGACATTCTTTGATGTCTGCCTCTGGGAACTTCTTCATCCAGTTGGTGACAAAATAAGCTGCATTAACTAGGAGGATCTGAGTCTGGTCACTTACACTATCCTCATTCAAAATATGCTCCATTTTGCCTGTGAACAGGTTTAAGGTGGTTGTTAATACAACAGTACATTATCAGTATATCGATTCCTTCAACTGAATACGGAAACAATTCACGGAATTAAAACATTTGTGTCCTACACCTCACAGATAAAATATTCTAAAGGAAAATTCCAAAAAGAAGCACTTACTCGAAGTTGCAGCTTAACGTTTGAAATGGGCTTAGGGACCAAGGCAGATCTTGCAAATGACATGTTTTCTTGGCTTATATAGCATGGAATCAAAAATATGCCTACCTCTTTCGATCAGTACCTTAAAGAAGGTACTGAATTTTCAGTGACATTCAGTGGGTGTAAGAGAAAAAGCATTTGTCATCTGGAAAGCAAGGCTTGAAGGGAAGTTCCAGATTAGCAGCTACTCATTTCTAGACTGATAGATGAGAATAAAATAACCAGGATAATAAAAAATTCTGCTCTGATTACAGTTCATAACCAAATACTGCTACTGACTTCAAAAAGGATAGGGAAATGTTGCCCCCGGCCTCGCTCTGGTTTAGACCTCTTCAAGCCCTGTCATAAAAGACACTGAATTGAGAGCACTGAGGGAGGCAAGTCCTGCCTTCATGCACGAAATGCAGAGGCAGGGCAAGGTGCTTCCACATGGGCACCTGCGCCAGCTGGGCAAGGACCAAGCTCATGCACCCATGTTGTATTTCTACCACACGAGAGAAACAGGCAACAGCTGACCCAGCAGCGACTCCCGCACAGGCCTCAGCCTCTGTTATGGGCTGCGCGTGCTCGCATGGGCCAGGGCTGGGCTTCTGCCCCCCACAGACTGGGCAGATTCTGCCCGGGGACCCACATGGTCAATGATGGGCATCTCCATGACTCGGCCCAGCAGCTGGTGGCTTAGCCACACGGTGGGAGAAGTGCCTGGAACCCATTCCCACAGGAAGGCGGGGAGGAGATGCACATCTGCGGCCTTGCTGGCAAGAGCAGATGAGCTGAGGTAAGCCGAGCTGTAAACTAGCAGCCTGAAATTCAGAGTCCAGCAAGTACTTCCCATTACAATAAAACTTTTAAAGGAAACCAGGGCCTGGGTTTGATGTATTGATGTCAGATGTTTGTAGAGCTCCACAGCCAGGAGCTGTCGTTCTGCCAAACCGCGCTGCTGCCATCAAATGTGAGCAGCTTTCCCCCAGGCTAATGCAAGGTCAGTCTCACATTTCCACTTACAGAAGTGCTGCAGTAGTAAAGTTAGTGATTTCAAAACAGGCTGACGTTGCTAATCCTCAAGAATCCAAATAATAGGTCTGGTGCTACTGCTTTCACTATGCATTTATTTCTAGAAGTAGTAGTAGAGAGGTGTCACAACGAGAAAGATCACTGTCTTCAATGAGGCATCCCCACGGTTAAGCTGTACTCACCATCAGTTAGCTCTGAAAGAGATTTGTTAATCTTCTGTCGGGTTTCCTCAGTTTTTTCTTTGAAATCCACTAATTCCAGTTGAGATGGAAAAGGCCTCTTTGTGGAGTTGACAAAGTCCTGCAAGACACAAGGTACCAAAGTCATCCTTGGTTAAACGCCATCCACTCAGTGACTCGTTACATAGCCTGCAACATCAGCATCCTGAGCTTCACCATGGGCTAGTTGGGGAGTTTGTTATGATGGACAACTGTTAAATAACAGCGGGTGACAGCCAGGATGTACAGCTGCGTTCGGCACATCACTGCCAAGGTTGTCTTCAGTCCACTGCTGTTACATCAGCAGCTAAAGTAACTTTGGTGTTGCAGCAGTGACCACATTGCCAGAGTTTGAAAGGATAAAACAACCCTCAGTCCAGGCCTGGGTAAGAGAGAGGGCTGAGATAAAGGGCGCAAGGCTGCTCACATCGTGTCTGTCCTCACCAGATGAGATGTGTGTTGTTGTGGATGGGTACTGGCCTTTGCTGTAGCAGAGGCTGACCAGCAGGCACTCTGATTATAGCATCATTTAAGCACGTTCAGTTTTCTGTTGTCCTTGCTTGGGGCCCTATTCAAAGACAACTTTCGGGAAAAAAAAAACACCCCATATTTTTCTCAGTTACCTGCAAGGTCCATAAGTTATAAGCCAAACAACACCTTCCTCACTTGTGTTGTTTCAGTGGTGAGGCTTCTGCCTCCTCAGACAGATTAAGAAAGCTACAGCGTATGCAGGAATTACTTGGGTGTGTGAACTGGACACACACTTGCACTGCCAAGTTTTTTTAAAACTCCTTTTCACTTATACTTTACAGTGCACAGACCTTGATGTGGCATAGAAGCTATGTTGCATTATAAATCTACTGCGCCTACTGACCTAAAGCGTGTTAATAAAAGAATTAAAAGAATTAGAAATGTTGTAATAGTTGCAACGCTTGGGGTCAAGCAGCACACTCATCCTCCTACAAACGTTTACGTCAGCAGAGAATATTATGTTGTTCATCGCCTGAGTCTAGGCAAGTAACAGCCAAAAGTGAGAGGATTTACTGTAAATAACATCGCAGTCTGACGCCATAACCCGTCAACATGCTGGCCAAGCCATTCATAGCACCAGGGCTTTTCTGCAGTACTTACTGTGATGGGATTAAGAGACTTTTCTACAAAGAGACGTTTGATCATTTTCAGCGCAAAGAAAGAGCTGAGTTTGGCGACATCTGAAGTTACAGTTTGAAACCCGAAAGAAGCATCTTTGACATCTTGTAAATGGAGTACCTGTTAAATTAAGACAATAAAACACTAAGCATCTTTTTTTATTATTATTAGAGAAACAATCCTAACAGCTTAGTGAAAAAGAATGCTAGTTTGTGACCAGAGCTGTGGCTTTCCATATTTAAGCTAATAACACAGCGTCTCTCTGTTGTTACTTAAAAATAATTTATTTGTTTGACATCCTTACATAAATGTAAAACCTGATTCTACCAGAACTTAACCACATGCATTTCTTTCCTGTGAGCAGTCCAAAGGAATCAATAGGGCAGTTCATGCTCGTGATGGTGGCTTAGTCAACTGAAATTTTGTAGTATGGAGTCACAATGTCCTCACCAAACTGCCGTTCCTGTCCAAAAACCTGGAGCTTTTAAGTCAGATAAATGAGGGTCCCGATTAGTCTCCACTCTAGAAGTGGGCTACACCTTTAAAAATGCTTAACAGATTGTGCTGGGTGGTATTTTGCTAGCCGGAGTTAAGCCACAATACAGATTATCAGGTTGTCTGATTGCTGTGACTGATACATGACATCACATGGTATTTCAGCAAAAATTGATCAGATAACTATGCCTGTTTTGGCAGACAAAGCATGAGCTGGAGGTCAGGCTGCTGACCCACTTATGGCCATCTTCCAGCTCCTGGGAATGACAAGTCCTGTTCTAGGAAGTGCTGAGGGGACCTAAAACTCCCTGCTTTTAGGCACCAGAGGTGAGAGGTTTCTGCTGGTTTTGTTTGAAAATAACCCTGTGAGTATGAATTGGACTTCTAATGCCTGCCTATTACAGAGTCTTTGATGGTGGCTATTTGATTACAGGCCCAACCCTCCCCACCTGTCTCAAATTCCCACATGAGGCATAGCAGGCCCTAGTGACCTTCTTTTCCCTTTGTCCCGCTCTCCTGCTCTTTTTCCCTGAACGCATCGTCACAGACACAAGAAATTGCTGCTCTGCCTTACACCCCTCCGTGCCTTCCGCTCTCCTTGTCCTGTGGGAGCAGAAGGAAATAAGCTCCCGAGGACACAGCAGCAGCACAGCTCTCACGGCCACCCTCCACAGTCATTTCCTCAGAAACAACTTTCTCTACTTATTTCCTTTTCCCCCAGCAGTTTTATTTCCTAGCACGTCGAGTGCAGAAAGCTTCTTAGTGCAAGCTGCATAGTGCCTGGGAACTGTGTGTGGGGAGAAAGCTGCGACACTGCAACTTCTCTACCTGGGAGAGCTCTTGGCACACGTTTGTAAGACTGCCAGTCTGGCTCCTTTCAGATCTAGTATTTAAAACCCAAGCACAAACTCAGGGGCAGGCAGAAGCTAGAATAGACATGAAAAATAGGAGATATTACAGTTAAAAACATTCCGAGTTCTCCTTAGTACCTGTAGTCAGCACTTTTTATATGACACTTGAGAAATGTGAACCATAAACGTGCTTGTGATCTACCACTTGAGAAATATGAAACATAAACGCGCTTGTGTAACAGAGGTCCGTTGGTGGATGTGTACATTAACTTATTATGGGATGGTTCAAAGCAAATTGCAGGCACAAGTGAAAATGAAATTAAAGGTAGGTTAGTATTTTGAACTCTCCCATTAGAGAGACAATATGCTTGAATGTTGAAATGGTGAGGAAGCTGCAGGGTGTCATTTAAATTTTAAAAAAAAAAAGTCTAGAGTTATTTTTTATATTTAAAGAAAAAAAAGGAAAAAAAAACCCAATGCTGTTTGGAAAAGTCTGTTATGCCTGGAAGTTCTTGATGAATATACTGCTGTGCAGGTCTGTGAAGAGCAGAAGACTCATAGTGATCTGTGGCATGAGTGGGGGCACAGGAGGCTGCGATCAGGAGTACCTTCAATGAACGAGGAAGTACAAGGAGGAATACATTCAAATATGCAGAACATCCTCAGAGCCAGGTGATAATCAGCACATAAATGCATACTGAATTTGCTTCTTATCCACCTTTAGATAACTGCGGAAACCGCAGGCACCCTCCCTGGGATGAAAAGGAGCTAGGCAAATCTCTGCTTACACAGAGACAGCAGAAGAGGCTGCCAGGCTGCCTCGCTGCACCGCAGAGCGAGCGCAACAAACCGACTGCATCTTCACTGCCATGTTGCGTCATGGTGTTGGAAACCCCTTGGACACCATGAGCTGCTTGTAAGGAGGAACATGGTCGAAACTCTGCCCTCTTCTGTGGCACCCGCCTCCTCTGAGCAGTATGGCTGGAGTAAGGGGCAATGCCACGGATAGGGCTGCTAAGCATACTCGCTGCTGGCAGATAATGGCCAAATTATTTCCAATTCCGTAAAGCTTAGGCATTCTTGAATAATGAAAAAGCAATTATCCAGAAAACACAGTGATCTTGACTGTAACTTTCAGCCACAATCAACACTATGCTAAAAGGAGATAGGGCTTTCCTACAGCTGTTGAGGACTCTGCCATGTCCCCTTCCAACCTTGTACACACGTGAGAAAGCTTTTCCTTTATGCCAGATTTTCAACCTCTTTTGCTGTGTGGGGCTATGGAGTGTGGAACAGTTCAGGAATTTCAGATGGATGGCTTGCAGCCTGGCTTACAAGGGAACCATACATCCAGCAGAATATTAACAAGAACAAATAAGAAAACCACCTCTGACAGCAATATAATTGTGCAGCCACAGAACAGGATGCTGACAGCTTACCTGTTTCATTTGGTCTGCAGTATCCCCTTTCGTAGCTTTATAGGCCAGAGCCAGAGACGTTGAGGTACACAGGGGGGCGAAAATAATATTGGCTGTTTTGTCCTTCTCGCACAGTTTTTTGAACACATCGACTGCAAAGGCAGTGTTCGCTAGTTGCAGAGCATCCATTGTCATCCTGAAACAGAAAAGGGCAAAGAGAGATGATTCAGAGTGTAATTCCAGCTCCTGCTGTGGTGGGGCTGGGTCAGAGCATGGAAGGAGGCTGGACTCCAGTATGGGGACTGAGCAGCTTGAACCTTCAGGGAGAGGAGAAGACGGCCTGACCGAGCCCACACAGCTTCAGGGCATGCTGCAGCTCCTGAGGAGCAGGTAAGGTCTCATCCATGTCCAACCAAGGATAACGCAAGTGGTTCAGTAATAGCCATCATCCTCAAGTGACAGCTGGCAATGCCACGTGTTACATGGAGCCGGAGTTACCAGCAGCACTTGGGGAAATCTGGGTAGGTCAAGGTGACCCATGCATATGGACTCAATTTGGATCACATATGAATTTAATCTGGTTTTAATCGGTACTCTTAAAATGTGCCCACTTATAGCGTACTTCGCCTATGCTCTGGGCTCTCCTGGCTCTCAGACAGGCTTTTAATAGTCGCATAACCTTTCCTGTCCCTTGCTTTGTGGCTAATTGTTCATTAAGGCTTTAGCTTTGGTACACATCCTTCCTCTGAGGGATGATTCCCCATTCTCCATAGCCTTGCTAGAAGTCTCCAGGATGTTCTCTGGTCCTGTAGGTTGACATTGTCCTAGAAACTTAGGAGAAGCCTCCTAAACAGATAATACCGTGTGCCCGCTTGTCACTTACACTTTTTAAACTGCAAATATTTTACTAGCTGTTCTGAAGAACTGCAATTGCCACAGGGCTGTTAGATGATCTGTGCAGTCGGGAATGGGAAGGATGGTGCCCAAGGGACAGTTGCTGCAGTCTATGACCTGGGAAAGCCACTAAGTATTCCCATCTTCCAGACTGCTTTCACATACTTGAAATTGCATTTTGGTGTAAGCACATTTGTGTGGATTCGAGCTAACAAGGGTGAACCACAGAATTTCAGTCAATAGCACAAGTCTGGCTTTAGACCAGCAAGCACACAGAAGACAACCCCTTTGGCACAGTGAATTTGGCAGTACTCTGCCCCCAGTATCATGTATCCCTATAAAAAAGGGCAGTCTGTTGCCAGTGGTGTTAAACAGCTCCATCAAAGCTATTGATAGAGACAGAAAGGAAATGGAAAATACGAATGTTCGGAGAGATTTCAAAAGGCATGGGATTTCACACAGAACAAAAACAGTATCTCCAGCATTTGCCCTCTTCAGGAAAAATGCCGAAAGAGTGGAATAAATATGGTGTGGAGGGGTGATTTTAAAAGGTGTGTACTTATCCAAACACATACCTATTTACATTTGCATTTCAGGCTGTGACACTGAAGATTTTGAGGTCCTACTTTAACCTACTGTGAAAAGGAAAATCAGCTATTTTTTAAATTGGTAGGTTTGCTAATCTTTTGAGAAACACCTTAAGGACAGGGATTTCTCTTCAGTAACTGACTACTTAATACTGCAGTCTTGAACACTTACTACCTAGTGTGTATCATTCACATCCTGGCTAGGGAAGAGCTCAGCGGGTGAGAGCAGAAAGGTGTGAGAAAGGGGAAGAGGGAACATATGGGCAGGGAACAGTCTCCAGCAAGGTACCTACCTTCACTATTCACTCACATCCTGGTTTGGAAAGGCATTTTGAATTAGAACAATCTCCTGTTTGAATGAATGTGTCACATTGCCCAAACTTAGCTGAACATCTGACACCACTGTAAAGAGATGCTGTGGAGCAGTTGTGGTACTTGACAGGAAGTGAATGACTTCCAAACAATCTGCGGCACTTTTACATTTTTATGGGAGTAACAGAACAGGTGCATAATTTGACTGCGACACGGTAGAGAAAACACTGATTTACTCGTAAAGCCTGTTGGATTAGAGAAAGCCTTTTACAAAATAGATGTCTTTGTTTCTATTTTAATTAACTTATACATGTTCTTGGATCCATTTGGTAAAGCAACCGGCTTATTTGGCAACTGGTTTGTTTTGGACTAAAAGGTGTAAAAGGTTACGGAAATGCATTGCACAATCTAAGTAAAAAAAAAAAAAAAAAAAGAGCCACACACCCAACAACTGGCATAAAACCAAGGCTTTTTAAATCCATGTTTCAAAAGCACACATAGCCATCACCGCACTCTCTCGAAATGTTCTGACTGTTGGTATTAGCAACAAACTGCTTGCTAACAAACCCCCTCCCACTGGAGGAAAAAAAAAAAAAGGAATTTTTCTTGGAGAGGAGAAACATTAAATATATATCACTGAAGAAAGTTATCCCCACATAAAATAAAATAGAGGATTACATTTTGCAACATCTGGAGACTTAGCCAGAACCCTGAATCTGGCCAGACTTGTCCATCTTCCAGCAGCCTGGCAGTGCCCAGCAGTTTCTTGGTAAAGAGAGCTTATCCATGTGAGATTCCATGTTATAGTGTCAGCAGGCATCAAGCTGATGTCAGAGTGAGGTTCAGGAAACGCGTCTCAGAGATCTTATGGGTGTAAAGGGAGAACTAAGCGCCAGCCCAGCATCGCAACCATCTCCCTCATTTATGTGATCATGATTTCTCACGCATGAAAGCAACTAATTACCAGAAAAGTCAAGCTTGCCAGAAACCGTGGGCTCAGCACACACCTTAAAGGAGGAGAGCTTTGGACAGAACAGTGGCAAAAGGCAGTTAAGACAAATTTGAAGGACTGAGACTGCTGATGTGGGAGTAATTTGGAACAACATGGGCAAAGGACCAAATGTAAAATCATGCTTTAAAATGCCTCTCCGCAGTTGCTCATCCCAGACAATGCACCTCTGTGCCTGCGTGTGTCTCTTACACTCCTTTGCATAGGCTACCTATCTTATCTTCCCCATCAACTCGACCATTCACACATGAACACATAATGCATATGTATACTTCGTCTCCTTCTCTCTCTCTCTGCACCCTTGCCCAGATAAAATTTGAAGATCTGGGGCAAGTACCAACTTCACAGGTATTTCTTACCGAGGAGCTGGTGGAAAATTACTCAGGGAACCAAGAATGTGTCATTCAACATCTACCACCCTGAGGAAGACAAATAATATGGAGAGTCTCACAATGCAGAACGAGGCATGCAGTCCACCTGAATAAAATCTTATTTGCTAGTGGCGTAGAATATCAGTCTTTAATGCTGTCTGGCCTGATATTATCCTATTCAGGCCTCTGGATCTTCCTTAAAGGCTAAAAATCAATATGCAATCATAACCACTTACAACTACTTCTTATTCCTTTCTGGCTTCATATTGCCAGTGCTACACTGTCATTCTAACATCAGTATGTTCAGTTATACTGACAAACCTAAGGTGATTTTAAGATGTGTAAGTGCTACCTGTGTTTCGCTTCCTTGGGTAGCCAGAGATTCAGAGTGAGGAAATCAAATGGGAAATTTTGCAAAATTAAATGAAACTTCTTCCTTATGCCAGTGAAAAGCATGCCATTACTTAGAAACTCTTATTTCTGTCCTCATTGGTAACTGTTGGATACTGTTCATGTTGGATAATTTTCTACAAAGTTTCTATGCTGCTTTTTAGTGTGGAAAATGGAAGGTATTTGGTGGTGAAGCTTTTATTTACCTTTTGTTCATCCAGTAAGCTGATACTCTCAAAGCATTTTTGTGCTGAGTGAAACCGTTTCTGGTTGTCGTAAAGCTCCCCACTCTTACAATTTATTTCTTTTAATGCAGCTATTGAAATAATGCCCATTCAAAGCATTCTTTTGTGGGGGAAAAAAAAAAAAAAGGTGTTTCACCCTTAATCTTCATTGATGGGCTGGATAGCCAAAACCAGTTTCTATTCCACCATCCTTTTCAACCACACCTGGTCAGCCTGGTATTTTATGCTCCATTTGTTAATAATTAATGGTATGTAGGAGCTCATGACATTCATACTCTTGAAAGGAATTTACTGTATTAAACATTACGAGTCCTTGAAACTCGTTACGGCCTTGAGGGCCCCAAGCCTTGTGGACTCCATTAAAGCCAGTTCCAGTCAAGTGACAAGGGTTGCGGCTCCCGTCAAGAGGAAAGCCCATTAGCTGCCTGCCCATTAGCAGTCTTAGAAACCAGACGCAGCTCCAGAGTCAGTAATCACGGGGAACCCTCAAACAGGGAGGAGTCAAAAACTGAAAATGAAAATTTAAAAAGGCTTGCTGCATGGATTCTTGCTGAGTCCCTCCTTTCCCGGGAAAGCACTATGTCAGCATTTCCAGGGAGGCCCGCGGCACTGGGGCATCTTCTAAGCACAGGTAGCTTGTGATCCACCCAGCTTTGCTTAAAACTGTGACTGCCACAGCGTTGCAGAAACACTTTCAGATACAGAAGGGAGCTGAAAGGCTATAAAACCAGTCTATAAAAAACATGATATAAACTTGTTTATTGGTGTAAGACACCATTTTTGCTTAGTCGCTCCTGACTGTAACAACAACAAAACAAAACAAAACCAGAGAAGCTTTGCTTACTATCTGCTTACTAAGAGAAAAACTAAATATAGCTTATCTTTTATAAATATAATCAGGAGAATAGCAATGTCTGTGTGGGAATGTCTGACAAGTCAAGTCAGCGATAAAGTAGGAATAATCTGATAAAGCAGAATAAGTACTTCTTTTATTCTTGTCTCGGTTTAGCACTCCTTCCAGAAGAAACCTGTGGCAGATACAGTGTCGACAGTGCTGGCATTCCAGTGCTGGGGGGATGGATGGGGTTTACAGCTCGGGAGCTGTGAGTGCCAGCACCGTAGTTTCTCCAGTCCACACAAAGTTCCACCGAGGGGATAAAGGATAAGAAACAACCCACACGCGAGCTTCACGAGTGAGGCATTGGTCTGTGAAACCAGGTCTAGCATTAAACATGACCCCACTTCAGCTCTTACTCGGCAAACACAAAATATAGAGGAAATAAGAGACTTCTGTAAGTCTCTTCTTACTTCTTTACGTTACACAAATGACAATTCTCCAGGGGCAGACTACCTGGCTAGGCAACAAGGACACAATTTCCTCTGAACAGACGTCGCTGTGAGGAATGTGAGACATCAGACTGATGCGGGAGCAGACCGTCTCATATATTTGGGGAAAATGCAAAGCAATGTCAGCTATATAGCAGGGAAAGGAAAAGAAAGGAAAGGAAGGCGAGCAACAGGCCAGCGCAATACGCTTTGTTATATCTCCATAGCCAGTGAATTCTTCAAACTAAGTGGTCATACTGAAAATAAATTGGTAATTACTGGACCTAAGTTCCTGCCCCTCCCTTTAAACAAGGGCGGGTTAGTCACTTGGTTAATAAAGCAAAAAGAGCAGAGCACACACACCTCTGCAGAAAATGAGAGGAACATTCCCCTGTAACAGAGACTTAGAAAACAGACTAAATCCTACTTATGACACATGGAGCATTTTCACACCATCATACACAACCTGCTTTTTCTAATATAGGGAAAGCCATTTGCAATAAACCACCATATTTTAATAATTCCTAAAGCCCTTGCTGTCTCACCTGTCAGATCCTATTCACTGCCTCCAATGAATCTTTTCAGGGAGAAGAAATACAGCATAGCAGATTCAGCAATTTTGGGATGAAACCAAAACATTGTAGTTTGGGAAGGCTTTTTTGCTCTTCTAATTCCACATAATATCTTTTTTGTACAAATCTCCTTATCCCACTCCCTCTACACGATTATGCTTCACAATGGAAATTTGTAAGCTATTAGTTAGACATTAATTAAAGTATCAGAGGAAGTAAAAAATCTGTACTTACTTTGCAAGGCTATAATCCTGGTAAACAAATCAATGAAAGGGGTACAGCACGAAGAACTATCTACCCGTGGTGAAAAGCTGCAGAGCAGAAGACTCTGTTAGCTTGCCTGCTCATTGACACCACTCCCACTTTCCCAACCTTAATTTGTGCGCACACACACTCCCTCTCACTCTCGCTTTTTTTTTTTTCCCTTCCCCCTGAATCATTTTTCATGGCACCTCCTACACCAGAGGAGCAAAATGATTCACACCAGAGTTGTCTTTGCCTGCCCGGCTACTGAAGACAACAACAAGCTCCGGCAGGAAAGAGCAGCCTTCGTGTGTTGCCTTCAGCAAGTGCAATACAAAAGGCACCAGACAAGAATGAACGAAGACTACGAAGGAGAGAATACTGGAATGGATGAGCAATTAAAGACCTTCTGAGCAAAGCCAGAAGTTACATTGGAATCGCCGCTATTTGCAGAAAAAAATTGTAATTGTGAAAAAGACACCTAGGAAGACAGCCAAACCGTGTGGGGGTGTGTGGCAGCGCACTTTGCATCTGTATGCATCTGTATGAAGCCAGTGTCCTAACTCTCTTAAGGGCCATATGTGTGCACTGGTTGCCTTAAAAACCCAAGGCCAGACTGGAGCTAGTGCTCAAGGAAAAACATCTGCCCTTCTTGTTGCTGTAAAGGCAATAAATAAAAATAGGCAGCCAGGTCCTCTGCAGGGCAGCAGCCTTCCTTTCTGCTAGCTGTCCCCGGAGGTGGGAGGGGAGCAGAAATTCCATCCCTTCACCTCCAGGATGGGCACCGCTGGATTTGTATGCTACAGTCCGCATTACTGCTGATGAACATGACAGGGTGGGAGAAGAGGGTGGGAGGGCGAGGTGATGGTACAGCCCACCAGGTCTATTTTTATTTGAAAGATGCACACAGTCCTTAGCAAGGAAGCGATGGCCCACCCCAGCTCCATACCATTCCCTGATCAGGCAGCTGAGCCACCCACGTCTGGGAACACCTGCAGGTGCTCCCTGGGAGGCCACGGCTACACTTCAGTCCCCATGAGGAAACGGTGTGCCACGCCACAGGCACGGCTGGGGTTCACACCTCAGTAACTCCAGGAGGCCCTGCATACTTTTAGGCTACAAAAGGTAAATGCAAGATAATTGAGTTTGCTTTCAGGTTTGCAGTGCTGGCGTCCCCAGCTGCCCAAATGAAAGGGTTAGGAAACCAAAGGAAGCACTTTAACTGACACGGTGCCTCCTTGGTGAGAGTGGGAATTGGGGAGCTGTTATCCCCTTTTAGAGCAATACATCCTGTGTTGCTTTGGGCATAAATCACACCATGCCATGGCATCCTGATCAAGTCCTACCCATGTTTCTTTCCAAAAGGCTCCTAAGCTCTTATTACCCAAAGGAAATTACATTTTACTTTCTGCTGTAATGCAAATGGTCTTCCCCTTCCTTCATTACCAGACAGCAAAATTGAAATTTTTATGCTTTGCCACAAGTGAATTCATAACAAAGACAGGGTGTGGATACGATTAAACAATTAAAATAAGATACAGGCCAGCTGTCTAACCTGTGCCATCCGGGCCATCATTGTTATGTGTCTAATGATGCCATCTGTAAGAGAAATTCTGATGAAAACCCACTATTATGTAGGCTGCCAGACTCTCCTCAGATGTCTGCAGGTAATCTAAGGCCAAACGCTACCACGTCTGCAGGAGCAAACTTTCCTTCAGACCCAGGTCTACCAAGTATGGTCACTGAGAAGTGGCTCAGGAGCTTCTGCATAAACTGCAAGGAGGTGGACAACGGGCAGATTGCCTTAGCAGAGATTCCCCAGATCATTTCCTTGCTAGTGGTAGGTGGGAGATACAGGGAGAAGTAGGTGCATCAGTTTCTTTTAAAGGCTGGATGGGAAAAGGACTCTACATTGCCAATCTGGAGGTGTGTAAATATCACCCTCCACTAGATAACCGCTCTGTGATAGCTGAGGTCTGGCACTACGTGACTGTACAGAACCCTTCAGCTTGACCTAGTTACTGCTGAGAATTAATTATTTCTGGTCACGGTGCCATGAAACTAATAATCACGGCTGTGATTATGATGCTTCTAATGGAGGAGTTCACGCTGGCACTGGTAACTGAGCGGCTCAGCAGGCAGTCCTGCTTCCCCTGGGAACAGATATTTTGGGCTCATTTGCTGTTGGAGGTAATGTTAAAATAACTGACTTCCTGGTAGCTTCTTATTCATTTTTATGGGAATTCCTGACATATGACTGATTCTTTCTTATAGCCCAACCAGGAAGATGTGTAAAAGCAGGAGACGCTAACTTGCAAAGTAGAAGATTTTTAACCTCAGGTAGTTGAGGTTTTCAAGGGACAAGGAGTGATGCGGTTCTC